CCCAATAAAAGCACTGACAAAGATTAGCATTTAAGCCTGAATGTTCCTGGATTCTTTTGTGTAATCTTATCAAAAAACTGTCACTCTTAGCCTTTGTGTATGACCTCTCCAGAACCCTAAAGCCCTAAGGAACTGTCTAGAAAACTCTAACTTATGTCAAATTTGCTTGTTCTGTTGCTCATCAAGATGAGATTTTTTTTGGAATTGAACTCCTCTTAAGAATTAAACACATCTTCTGGTGCTGGGGAGATGGCTCAGTGGAATAAGTGCTTCCCTGGCAAGTGCAAGGGCCTGAGTTCAATTCCCAGTTCCACCAAAAAAAAAAAAAAAAAAAAAAAAAAAAAGAATTAAATGCATCTTCCTTACACATCCAAGCGTTACTTGATATTTTGGTTTGGTTTCCAAAGATGAGCCTCAGGACATCCTGTAGGAACTCAACAGTGAGAATAAGTGGATCATCAAGAAGGGCATATAAGATGAAAAACCAACAGAAATTGTGCATTATAAGGAAAGTATTGGAACTGAACATTTGGAAACTGTTCTTAATTCTGACCCCAGGTATGGCCACTTTTGTACACAAAAATCCAGAGCTGTGTTGTGTTGCCACCTCAGTTTCACACTATACTATTTATACTTTTTTTTTATTCACTGTGCTCAGGAAGTATCCAGAGGAAATATCTGTCCAGTAGTTCTTCATTTTGATGTCAGATAAAGTACTGAGGTAATGACTGATTTGTCAAGGTTGAGAAAGCCATTGGCTAAGCAAGGATTGTTTTCAAATTATGTTTCTGGTAGACATACATTGGGATCCTCTGGACATTCTCAATTATGCAGTTTGGGTCAAGCACAGCTAAAGACTAGGTGTAAGCAATGGAATCTTCTCAAGAACTGATCCTGTTGGCCATGAAATTAAGACAAGATATGGTTTACCTTGAAAATTAAGGCAAAAAAAAATAAGATGTAATTTTGCACATTTGGTAAAGAGGTAATCTCCATTCAAGAAACCCAAAAGATTTTTTAGATACCATAATAGTTTATATTTGTAACAAATTACTTGAAATATGAGGTAGCAACATATGACATTATTCTTTGGGCAGGAGGAGAAACATAAGACTTCTAAGTGATAAGACCTAAAAGGTGAGGACTACCAGCTGACAGGATTGAGTAGGAGGATTTCTTTTCTGGATTTTTAGCAATCATGAACATCTGCCCACAGCATGGAGGCATTTCATGTCTAATCTGTGTCTGAAAAATGATTTGGGGTCCTCAAGACCAACCCTACTTCCATCCTAAACTGCCACAGTACAAAACTTCTGATCTTACTGACATGTAGGGACTGCCACCAGGGTCACTTATTTGGGTGACATCTTAAGTGGAGAAGGAATATTGTCTCTATGCACACTATGAAAATGTACATTTAAATTCTGAATAAAAGAAAGTCTTAAGGAAATTTTGAAATTATATATATTATTTTACAGCTCTGGAGACTGAACCATGGCTTTCACACTGAGATAATCTTCAGACCATTAAAAAAATTAAAAAAAAAAAACAACAAAAAAATACAAATACTGCAGGAGTGATTTAACCAGTATAAAATTGAAAGAGCTTGAAAGCTGAAATAAAATCTAAATTTGGGGAAGGGGTAAACTTTAAATCAGCAGCCAAGCAGGGAAGCAGGGTATGGAGGATGGGTGACAGGCCGTGGGGACTGTGGGGATAATAACTGACCACTGTCAGGTCATTTTTAACTTTTTATTTATTTATTTTTTTAAATTTTAAGACAGGGTCTTACTAAATCACTCAATTGCCCAGACAAGGATCAAATTTGTAATCCTCCAGCCTCTGCCTCCCAGAACACTGGGATTAGAGGCCTGCACCACCACACCCAGCCTTTCATCTTTTTCAGTTATCTATATCTATATCTCTTTTAATCACATGAATTCAAGCCAGCTTAGAAGCTTCAAATATCCTAGCAGAGACCTAATTCTGACACTGGCCAAAGTCGGCAATGGGTGAGAACAGAGGACAGCTCAGAACAGCGGTTCCAGGGAGCAAGCAGAGGCTGAAGCCAGCATGCCACTGGCTGGTCAGGATAGCAAGCTCGGTGGAGACCAAGGACCCCATCCACTCTCCTCTGGGCTCTCTGGGCCCCTCACTTAATAGATGGGCAGGAAAGCTTGAACAGCCACAGAGTGTAGCAATATAGGAAGAGGTGACAAGATGAAGCCAGGCAAGTGCAGTAAATGATGATGTGCACACACAAGCTGCCTTTGGGACTCAGTTTTCAGTAGGAAACCTGATTTCAGAAACAACAACTGGCTAAATTATGGCTTTTCTGTGCACCTAAATGACTCCATGGCTTCTGAAACAGAGAAAGGAGAATATATACCCAAGAGCCATGTGACCCTCCAGGCATCTTCTTTTGCAAAAAAAAAACCCTCCAGCATACTTCTGTACAATCTTGTTTTTATATTTTCACTCTCTAATTATGTTATTGCAAATGGCATGAAACTCTGTTTTGCCAACTAAAACATAAACTCTGTGTCTTCACACTTAGGAAAACACACAATGAAGAAGCACATGTGTGGTGGGGCAGCAATCCAGAAATGATGTTTATTTGCAATTGGTCGTGTATGTTTACTTGTCTACATAGGCTACGTGTGTCTGTGCCTGTCAGATACTGCAACAGAAAGCACTGGGTTGCAAACGAAGTGAGCTCTTGCCTCCTCTCACTCTAAAGAACGGTTGTGTGTATTTCAGCATTTGATTCCATATGGGACACTGTTTTCTACAGCAGACGCTTAGTGCAAGTGCATTCATTCTGTGGTTACTTTTTATTTGACTATTTTGGTCCACATCTGTTTTTGGAGCTGGGGGTGCTGTGTGGACCTCTGAGATCGTGGTACTATAGGAGAAGACTTTCCTGTGTTTGGGCTATGTTGTGCTGCCCGGGGGGAGAGGAAAGGAAGTGACAAACACAAGGGGACAAACACATCTTTAACTCTTTTCATTCATTTGAATTTTTCTTCCCCACACAGCCAGAGTGTCTGTCTCTAGTAAACACCATACAATCTGTTGCCTGTGTATTTAACTATAATTTACATTTTTTGCCCTAAAATATTCTTGAAACCTATCTGAGCCAGTAAACTTCCAACTTAATTTTCTCTATTTCTGTTGTATTTCCTGAATCAGAACTGAGCCAAAAGATAAAAAAATCTCATTAGTGAAGTCTAAGTGCTAAATTACAAGCACTTATAAAATATATGGATCTGTTTCCTTATCTTCCATTATTGCCTAAAATCCTTACAAATTTATGAATTCATGTCTGGGAATATGTACACATGTGGTGTGTTTATATATGTGTGTGCTTGTGTGCGTATGTGTGAGTTTGACGTGAGGTCTACCCCATTAATAATTTTAAATATTATTGTTTACTATAGATAACTAAATAATACAGCAGACATCTAAGTGCATTTGTCTTGCTGAAACAAAACTTTACACCTGTTAATAGAGTAATTCGCCATTCTTCCAGTTCTTGGTAACCACTACTCCAAGCCTTGAGTCTCTGAATTTGAGAGTTTCAGACATGTTACCTAAGTGGGACCATGTAGTATGATCTTGTTTCATGTAGCATGATGTCCTGCAGTGTTATTCTGGTTTGTTATTTTTGGGCATTTAAAAAGTGAAAACAACCATTGGAGTGCTGATCTCTACCTTAAGGAAACCCAAAGACAAGAAAACATGTGAGAGGGCTCATCAAGTTTCAATCCCTGTTTGGTGGTGTATTTAAATGAAGACTTCCAGTCAGGGCAGGCCGTCTTCCCAGAGATGACTGAGGCACCGGTTTAGGGAGGGAGGAGCTCTAAGACTGCACTTCGGACCTGGGGGGTGTTCAGGGGTAACTAAAGGAATCCCTTGGGTTTTCCAGTCTTGCTCCTGGGCATGCCGCTGAGTGGGGGGTCAGGTGTGAAATTTGAGGACCTAGATGGGACCTCTACAGGATACTGCTACATTCAGCTGGTCCCTGAAAACTGTCACCGTCTGAGGCTCAGTTGATTACTTTTACCTGCAGAGGAGAAAGACTACCTTCTGAACAACCCTCTACCTTGCTTGGAAGCCTGTGGCCAAACCTCATTAAGCAGAGAACGAAGAGCAACTCCTCTCCTACAGTGAGTCAGCCTGGTAAGACGGTGCCACCAGCGCCCCCAAGCGCTGGGCGCCAGAGAGTCCCAGATCCTCTCCCAGCGCATAGCACCTTGGAAGATGCGAAGGCGACTTGGGCGGCCTCTGGGAACGGCTTTCTTTGGAGCTCCCAGGGGGCAGCAGTTAGGGCGCCAAGGACTGCAGAACCTCAAAGGCCCCCTGCGTGCTAACCTCCCAACCCCATCCAACCCTGACTGGGGTTTCCTCTCTGCAAAAAGGGTAATTAATTGTCTGGCCCAGATAGGTGTCCAAAGGACCTGCGATCTCCAAACCTCCAAGATTCTCAGGGTGTAGGGGGGCAACCGGTTCCTCCCTTCCAGTCCCCCAGAGACAGAGGGGCAGTTAAGAATGAAAAAGGGGAATGAGAATGGGCTCAGCCTGCCCCCCGTGGATCCTCTCCTCATCCTTCCTTGGGATCCACTGGGCATCTCGGCCCAGCCTTCCACGCTGGGGGGTGGGGGGGGTCACAGGGCAGAGACATATTGGGGCGCGTATGAATGTTGACATCTCCAAAACTTCCCGAGGCTGGGAGTGGCTGCAAGGACCATGAGGAGTGCTGGCAGTCTCCATGACTGGGGACAGTTTGTGCCTTTCCGTGCCCAAATGTGCCCTCCGTCTGCTTCCGAAGCCGATCTGCTCCCTGGGTCTGGGGTCAGCTCTGGGAAGCCCATGTTCTTCTGGGAGCAAATTCTATATTCTCCAGTTGTGGGGTGGAGGAAGGTAGGAGGGCGGGGAGGGGAAGCCAAGGAAGGAGCTGCAGGAAAAGGGGGGCAAGAGCATAGGGGTAGAGCAACGTTTTCACTCTTTGTCACTCTTGGATTGGGGGCGGAGGAAAACCCACTGTGGAAAACTATAAAAAGCAAAGAGGGCGGGGGAGAGCAGCTGGAGCGCGCCAGCCCTGCGGAGCGCAGCCGGCGCGGGCATCGCTGGTTACCGGCAGTGTCCGTGGTCTCGGGTGAACCCTGGACGGCCTTTGGAGCGACTGTGACTGCGAGTGGCACCTCTGCTGGCTTCACGTCTGCAGGGCCCGCCCAGTCCAGAGGCGACTCCTGACCTCCGGTGGTAGTCCCTGCTAACCTTGAAAAGAAGGACATACGTCCTACAAAGTTAGAGACCCACAGTGTGGAGGGAAGGCAGAGAAAAGCCACCGAGGCCAGACAAGGCGCAGGCGCCGACCCCGGTCCATCCAGGAGAGGACTGAGCCCAAGACAGTCACCGAGGTGCGCGGCACTCGAGTCACGCCTCCTCTTCCTTGGCGGGGACTGCACCCAGGCTGTGACCGCCTCCTGTGACCGCCGAGGCTCCCTGCCCTGCTGGAGAACCGGTCTCCCTTGGGTCACGCTCGCTCCTGGTCACAGGCTGAGACTGCGTTGTTCTCAGGGTCCTGGGTTCCCGGAGCAGGCAGGGTTGGGGCACAACATCTGCGAGTCCCGCGCGCTGCACAGCTCTCGGCTCTGCGCCTCCCCGGGACCTCTCGCGGCCAACCGGGAGATGGCCGCGCGGATGCGGGGCAGGGACTCGTCCCGCTGCCTGCTGCTCTTGGCCGCGGTGCTGATGGTGGAGAGCTCGCAGCTCGGCAGTTCGCGGGCCAAACTCAACTCCATCAAGTCCTCCCTGGGCGGAGAGACGCCTGCCCAGGCCGCCAACCGATCTGCGGGCATATACCAAGGACTGGCTTTCGGCGGCAGTAAGAAGGGCAAAACCCTGGGGCAGGTAGGAAAACTTCCCCAAACGCGCTCTTCAGCCGGGAGAGGTGGGGACCAGCTCTCCTGGGAGCGGGTTGCCAGTGCGGTTCGAAGTGCGCGCACCGCAGGACCAGGGAGGGGTACCAGGAGCGTGGACTCGGGATGGCTGTGGGTGCTGCGCTGCAGGGTGGGCGCGCCAGGTTCTGTCTCACCTTTGCGATGGGTACTGGGCAAGGTGGAGAGCTAGCGCCTTCCCACGGGGAGAGTGGCCAAACGGTCCTGCGCCTAACATCGGGATGCAGCTGTGGAGGTTGATTGCACACAGCAGCTCTGAGGTGGTAAGCACTGTCCTAGGTGCTTTAAGAGCTCACTTGCTTAACAATGTGCTTTTCTTTCTGCAAATGAAGTCTTAGAGTCACGAAGGGCAGTGATTTGCCCAGGCTCCCGGTAGTAGGATTGGCGGAGCTCGATTTCCGTCTGGACAGCGGAATGCAGGTCCTGGGCGCCCTGCATCTTGCACTCCGGAGGGCATTCATCCCTTGCCACTCTCCACTTCTCCCAGTCGCTTTCTCCTTTCAAAGAAAGTCACGGTTGGAAAACAACCCCAGTGGAAGCGCGCTTGCTTCTCCTCTTGTAGAGTTGTACATAAATCATCAGCGAGGAAACAATGTGATGAGGTGCAGCGCCAGCGTCGTAGGCTCGGCAACAGAGCCCGGACACCAGAGACCTTTCAGTCAGAGGGAGCTTCCCACTGCACCTCTAGCCCCGGGCTCCGCAGGCAGACGGTGACAGTCACTTGTAGTTACCCTGACCCACAGGCGCACTCCCTGGGCAGCGGCCAGGAGAGGGGCTCTATGGGCACTGGGGACCACGACAGCTCCCCTCCCGCTCCCTTTATGGGAAGCCCAAATTGAAAGCCAGTTTGCTCCCCAAGATCACATGGAATGTCACACACACACACACACACACACACACACACACACACACACACACCACGCGATGGTGCTTGGCTGGCAGATTCCTGTGTCTACTTAGAGGCACTTGCAGCCTGCCGTGCCTACTGCGTGTGCCCTGCCGGCCGCACCACAGCTGGGCGCAGTGTGGAGGCTGACAGCTTGGCCAGTGCCACAGGAACCACAGGAAGATCTGGGCTACAGCGTGGCCCCCTACTGCCCTCTCACGGGGACAGTTTTGATAGTTTTGCTTTCCAGGGCTTTGAAATGTCCAATAGCTATTCTCTTAAAGGATGTCAAGGTCTGCAAACACCGCATTTCCACATTTTAAGAAAACATAAATCCTTTGTGGGTCAGCCTACTCAGGACCATATTCTCACCTTTTCTGTCTAGCTTGAGACATTTTGACCTTTTCAAACCAGTGAGACTAACAGTCTCTTAGAAGACCTTCATGAGAAGGGTTAGGGTGCAAGAAACAATGTCTACCCTTGATCCAAACCAGAAGTCCTCTTCAACCCCACTATCTGTCTTTGTTAGCAGTTTAAAAGTAGTTCCTTTAAGACTCAGAGACCCAGGACCTGTGGGGGTTCCTTTCAGTTCTGACCCATGTGTATCTAGTGCTTCTATAAACTGCTTTTTGTTTCAGTTCCCCTTTGGATCTACTGTTCAAGAGTGGGATGAAGGACATATCCCAGAACCTAGCTTACCGTTTATTTATTTATTTTGGTACCAGGCAGGGGTCAAACTCAGGGCCTCCTGCTTGCCAGTTAGGCATTGTGCCACTGAACTATGTCCCCAGCCCTGAGCTAAAACCCCTGCTATTTTGATAATATACTTGTAAATAAATAGTTGTAAAGGATACATACATATTTTACTGTTTCTCCATGTTCCTACTTAATTATACTTCTTTAGGAATTTGTAATGCCACTTGTATCTCTTCAAATTTGAGAATTTATTATATGAGTGAGTTGAATTTATGATATAGTCTTCATAATTTAGCAGTTTTATGGAAATAGATTTCATTATATCTGATTATCCATATTAATGATCTTTAAAATTTGACATTACGTTTATGAGAAAAATGTTATGTATTGGAGTCAACAATAAAGTAAAACACTGCACAACATGTAGCAACATTGATTTTCTATCTATCAGAATTGCAAAATATGGCTGGAGAACATTGGAAGCAAAATATCAAATGGTTAAATGAGCTAATTCCAGAATGTCATCCTGAAAAATACTCATTTTAATTTCATCTACCTTCTTTATCCATCTTTGATGATGTTAAAATCGGTGCCTTTCAAGTAGGCAGATTAGAAACTTAGTCTATGCTCTTTGCCTTAGCTGAAAATTTAATCATTATGTGTTTTAATTTTTCAGGACAGAGAAAGTAAAACTTGTATTATCATTGTGGAGAAGTTATTGAAGAAATGTAACAATTTATTAGCCTACAAAAGTGAAAATAAGGTTGTGGTTCCCTGCATTTTATTGACTTACTATAGTTTGATTTCATTGGGGAGACACATTCTTATTGATAGAGCTTCTACTTGTTTATTAGGGAAGGTGAGCTTTTTGTAAATTACTCCCCCAAAAATATGCCCTTAAATCCTTTTTTTTTTTTTTTTTTTTTTTTGCGGTACTGGGGATTGAACTCAGGACCCTGTGCTTACCAGGCAAGTGATTATTCTACTGAGCTATCTCCCTGCCCCCTATGCCCTTAAATTTTACGGTGTCTAAAAAGAAAAGGCACTGTTCTCTAAGGTGTTACAATTCTCACTTTTAGGTTTGCTTTCAAAGATCCTGGTTTGGTTAGGATGGACGCTGACACAGAGTGCTGAGTGGGATGGTATTCAATTAGTTTATACAGTATTAGCAAAAATGAGTTTTAAGAATTAGTCACCATGACTTTTAATTTGGTCCATACCTTGCAGGGTGGCTAGTGTGTTTTAAAAGATAGTGCATGTGTGCACATGTACACTGGGTGAATTAAGTTGCAGGATTGTTACATATATTGATATTTGTATAAATTACTATTTCAGTTTTTAAGGAGAATATTTCATATGTAGAAAATCAAAGGAAATTTTAAACAAAATTCAATGTTGTATGGATAAAAGTACTTTGATTAAGTCTTCCATTGTTTGACATTACCTCTGGGATTCGACATATCAAAATTTATGGGCCACCTTTAAAAAAATTTCTTAAAAATACCCAAGCAATTCAAATTATTCTATCTTTGTAATTTTCAGTTTTTGTGTACCAATGAAAAACCTTCTGACTTTGTGTTTATTATAGCTTCTTTTAATTTTTACTCTTTACTTTCTCACATTGAGATTAGACAACAAATTTAATTTGAACTCAAAGCTATAGAATTTCAAAATTATTTTAAACGTGAGTAGAACAGGGATAAATAATTGAACTTTAATGAAGATAACCTTGGCATGTGTGGCAAAAGACAAGTTGGAATTAGTTCAGTATAAATTCAGATTTTATGCTTTTTTATAAACTGGACACTCGGAGGACAGTACATAGTTTAAATGTTATTTTGTTATAAGAAAAGAATTCTTAAAATGCATTGATATGAAACTTGTGGGAACTGGCTTGAGACTGTTCATGCTTATCGACTGAATTCAATTTCTGAAAATGCTATACCTGTGCGCATGAACTTTGATGAAAGAGCTCCCTGAAGTGGAGTGTATGCTCTAGCTTTTGTAGGTGATCTTTTCACTTTCTGAAATTATCTGTGACTTGTTTTTTAACCCCAGCTCAACTTGCCCAAATTTAAGAGTAAGCATTTGCTAATTCTAATTTATATCAACTGATAATAAAAGCAAATTTCTTTTAAGGTTAAATTTCCAAGATATTTTAAAGATTTCAAACAATGGTCATAAAGATTCCTTTTCTTTCGTTATAAATCATAAAGATCGATAGTTGATTCAAGTGAAAGGTTATTTCATGAAAAATGAAATGTATTTTAATGATAATCTAAGTATAAGCATTCATCATTTTATTTTCATGTGAGACTGGAGATAGCAAAAGGACAAGGTGATGTAAACTTGTTCCAGCTGTGCCTCTAACCTTGCCGCAGTCTTTCGTACATTTTCCCTTCGATACAAATTGTGCCCGTTTCCTCCTTCCCAGAGTGTTTCAGATGTTTAACTTTTAAAGACAAGGAAATAAATTTTGTAGATGGGTAACTGAATATTCTAGGAGCCTGTTGGCACATATCCTACTTACCTTTACACAACCCTTTTCAATGTACATTAAAATCATCTGACAAATTTTGGCAGAAAATTTTAATATAATCTACATGCCATGTTGAAGTCAATCTCTTATGGTCATATCAAAAGATATTACAGTCTTATTTATGCCTCTAACTACCTACCTGATCGTCCATTCAAATTGCTGTTACACTGCTAGTAGTTTGCACTCATCTGTAAAATTGAGATCAACTTGCTGCTGGTTATTCATCTGCTTGTTGAAAAGATTTAAGTGATTTTTGTGATATTTGTGTCTGTGTGAGCCTGTTGCTGAATCATTGTTAAAACATGGTGAAAATGATAAATTAATAAGATGAATAATAATGAAGAGATTGATTTTTGCTTTAATGTCCCACAGAAAGATTAAATATGGCACATGTAATGAAAATGTTAAGAGGAGTTTGACTTTTGTCTTCCTCCTTTCTCTTCATTAGGGAGTAGAGAAGAACATTTTATTTTTCTGTACTTGTTGGTTTCATTAGGACAAACATAAACCATTATCTCAGATGACGAGGTCAATTGATATAAAATTTGAGAGGGCTTTCTTTTCTTTTTTTTTGACAGAACATCTGTCCACAGGAAAAGTCAACATCCAATATTTAAAATAGGGGCTTTCCAATGAATGTCTCATGCTGACAAGTTTGGGTCTCTTCTCACTTTGGGCCCAAATCAATGACAGGATGGCCATAGATGACTGTAATAACTAATGAGATGTCCTTCTGCAGCCTTTATCCCATTAATTCATTTCAGAGTGATGATAAATTGAATTAGATGAAACCTTTGAGACTAGCGACTTCAACTCACTATCTAAATAGTAG